AATTAACTACATGCCCTTTGAGCCAGTCCTTCCAGGAGCCACCAGACAAGTCAAACTACAATTTTTTAAAATAAGTGTGTTCTGCTCCCTCCAGCACTCGGTATCTATCATGGGAATACAGATTGTTGTCTTGAAAGCTGCTGCCAAGCTAGTAGTGGGGGATGATACCAGGGTAGGTTAAAATGTCATAAAGCTTACTTACTGAGATTCAGCTTTTTTTCTTAAATTGTTTAAGCATTCGCCTAGTTGCTATAAGCTTTTGATTAGATTCTAGAGTTCTGAAAAAGTTGATTCTGACAGGTTTTCTTTTGCTTTATTTATTGCTTTTATGGCTAGACTGACATTTAAAGGTTCCCATTCCACTGTTTTTTGCTAATGTCCTATATTTTCATAGTCTTTTAAAAATCCTCCCCTTTTAATCTGCACATTACCACCCTAGTTCCAGTTTTTACCTTGCATCAGAACTATTTTAGGAATTCTTAAACTGATCCCTCTGATACAGTACCTTCTTGATTATGTGACTTTCCTGTTGAGAAATCTGAAGCTCACAGTTTCTCCTTGCCTATCAAACGATGTCTTTAAGCTGTAGTTCCGGCATAACTTTCCAACTTTATTTCACTGTTTCTCCTAACCTCACTTCCACACTATGTTTTGATGAAGCCATTACCACTAGGCTTCTCCCAAGTATGCAGTTTGCTTTCCATATCTGCTCCTACACCTCCATGAAAGTTGTTTGCTTCCCATCTGGATTGTTCTCTACCCTCACCTTTGCCTACTGAACACTATCCGTATCTCTCTCTCTCCCTTTTTTTGAAACAGGATCATATTTTGTTGCCCAGGGTGGAGTGCAGTGGATCACTGCAATCTCTGCCCTATGGCTCAAGCAATCTTCCCACTTCAGCCTCCCGAGTGGCTGAGATTACAGGCATGTACCACCATGACTGGATAATTTTTGTATTTTAGTAGAGATGGGGTTTCACTAAACCCCATCAAGCTGGTCTCAAACTCCCCAAATGATCCGCCAGCCTCGGTCTCCCAAAGCGTTGGGATTATAGGTGTGAGCCACTGTGCCCAGCCAGAATACTACCCATCTCTTAATCAGCTCAAATTGCAGTCTTTCTATTAGGTTATTCCTAATTACTTCAACTAAAACTAATCTCTTCTTCCACTAAATTGCTATGACATTTTGTTACCAATAAATGTATGACATGCATTTATATTATGTCATATATTGTTTGCATTATGATCTATATTCATGTTTTCATTCATTCTTTCAATAACTAGAGCACCCACTGTTTGCTAGGGCTAGAGTAGCAAAGAAGGCAGACATTGTACTTAATGATCATTAAGGTATACATTGGAGAGAGAGAGATATATATATCTTCATATATATATATAGAGAAACCCTGTCTCTACCAAAAAATACAAAAATTAGCCTGGCGTGGTGGCAGGTGACTTAATCCCAGCTACTTGGGAGGCAGAGGCAGGAGAATCGTTTCAACCTGGGAGGTGAAGGTTGCAGTGAGCTGAGATTGAGCCATTGCACTCAAACCTGGGGGACAAGAGCGAGACTTCTCTCAAA